GGAGGAGGAGGAGGAGGAGGAGGAGGAGGAAAAAAGCTGTGGGGTCCTTGGTGCTCTCTGAGCTTGGTGGTTTTCTTGCAGACCTTTCAAGACTCCAATAGGTAACATCATCAGTGCTAGAAGGGAGAGGGGATCCCACTCTTTTCCAGCACTGATGAAGTTACCTAGCTTGCTAACGAAATGTCTGCAAGAAAATGACCAAGCTCAGAGAGCACCAAGGACCCCTCATTTCCACCCTGAGCTATAATTATTCCCCCTATTTAGAAAAGATCCACTGGAAACAATGGTCCTTCAGCCCTGCCCGTTGGAAGTCCCATTATTTCCTTTAGGTCAGGAGTAGGCAACCTTGGCTCTTTTAGGACTTGTGGACTTCAACTCCCAGAATTCCTGAGCCAGCACGGCTCAGCTTGGAAACTTCTCCCTTTCCCCTCAGCGTGGCTGGCTCAGGAATTCTGGGAGTTGAAGTCCACAAGTCTTAAAAAAGCCAAGGTTGCCTACCCCTGCTTTAGCTGAACCCCAGGTAAGCACCTACAGCAGCTGCCACTCCCGTGTTCCACGTTTGGTCCAGGATAGGTGTACAAGCTGGATCACAGTCACACCAAACAGCTTTTTAAGCATCTTCCATCTTTCAAGTCTTTGGTGATCAAAGCCCCTTTGTGTTAATGGAGCCAACGCCAGCAAAGAAAAGATTTAACGAGTTGATGTAACCATTAGCTCGGTTGAGCTTGCTCACTCTATTCTATTCTGTTCTTCTATACTATATTTCTATTCTCTTTTTTCTCTTGTTCTCTTCTCTTTTCTGTTTCCAGAAATGTCCTGCTCCAGTGGGGGTTGGACTAGAAGACCTCCATGGTCCCCTTCCTACCGTATTGTTCTATAATCTAGGTTCTAAAAGGCCTAGTTGGCAGAAATCCTACACAAGGAACCTCATTAAGTTAAACACCCTTCTTAAGTTTGCCTTCGGGAGGAATAGAAGGAGGACAGAGGGAAGCTAGAGAGCAGAACATTTAAAAAAAATCTGTTTACTCGCTTGCTGAAGACACCTTGTTTTCTTCTTTCCAAAGGCGTCTCTCGTGGCACCTAGCCGAGACCTTACTCCACATGGTACAGGTGTTTTTGGGCTACCTGGTGATGCTGGCCGTCATGACTTACAACACGTGGATTTTCCTGGGCGTGATTGCTGGTTCAGCCATCGGATACTTCGTGGCGTATCCGCTGCTGTGCCTCAGATAGCAGCGTGGAAGCTTCATGGGGAAAAAGCTCAAGACTGCAAATCATTCCGGATTTTGCAACTGGAACGGCTTCTATTGCGACAATTCCTCTCCACGAGAGAGCTGAGGATCTCTTGGAGTTTGATTTGATCCCTCGTCTCGGCGGATAGGACATTGTCCAACTTCTAATCCTCTCAAGTAGCAATTGTGCTTCCAATGTCAAGCCATTTTCTTTCCTAAGTGCCTTAAAACTGACTTTTCTCCTGGCCCAGAAAGTTAATTTGAAGGAGAGGGCCCTTATCTCCACCTAAGAGTACAGTATGATTGTCGCCGAGGTTGCCTTCAAAGCCTGTGTTTGGGATGGGGTAGCTCTGACCAAATTATCTTCAGTCCCTCTTAAACCTCCTCAGCGTACTTTCTAACTTGCTTGGAAAATAAAGCGGCCAGCGGAAATGTAGAAAGGCAGGACGGAGGGGCAAATGTTGGTCCCTAACCTTGAAGGGAGTGATGGGGATAAGCATCCTATTATCTAGAGCAGGGGTCCCCCAATCCCCAGTCCGTGAACCGGTACCGGGCCACGGCATGCCAGCAACCGGTCCGCACAAACAAGCAAAGCTCCATCGGTGGGATGCAGACAGTACACAAAACCATGCACCCTCCGGTCCGTGGAAAAACCTCTCTCCACGGAACCGGTCCCTGGTGCCCAAAAGTTTGGGGACCTCTGATCTAGAGTACAATGAGCTTTACAAGCTTTCAAAGCACACTTGGAAGAATTCGTTCGCCAACACCACAGATCTGCAGCACTTTAACAGATCCGGTCTGTTTCTATTCTCAGTGCTTATTCTGCTTTTTTTTTTTTATTTCTCCCAGATGTTTTCATTAAGCCAACATGCTGTCAAAACAACGGGCAGTCAGATTCTTTACCAAAGGACCCTTTTCCACAGGCTGGATCACTAACCCTAGGAACTCAAGGCCAAGAAAGAAGAGTAGCGATCACTATATAGGTGTTTTAAAATAATGATTTAGAGGTGGGAAGAGAACGAGACAAATTCTTAGCGTGTTCAGTCACGATGTTGCGGTTTCCTCCGTTTCTGAGTTACATGTCCAAAAAAGAGAGTTAAGGTGTCACACATCTGGACAATATCAATAAGGACTAACACAATAGTCTTTGAGGTAAAATTACCAGAATGTCCTACTCAAGTTAGAATGCGATAGAACTGAGTCCTCTCCAAGCATTTGCCCTAAATCTTTGGAATTGCCATCTCTAATAATCAGTATAAATAGGGCCTGGATGGAAATTGCACGGATGGGCCACTTTGAACAGCCATTTGTCCGGAACAGTATAGGTTCTCCTGTTTGAGCAGGGGGTTGGACTAGAAGACCTCCAAGGTCCCTTCCAACTCTGTTATTCTCTGATTCTGTAAGGGTCTCCTGTTTGAGCAGGGGGTTGGACTAGAAGACCTCCAAGGTCCCTTCCGACTGTTATTTTGCATTCAGAGATGGACAATTTAACAGGCTAGCAGGCAACGGTCTGACGTCTTAATTTACTTGCGTAGTTTTAAGTAAGTTACCTTCACGAATCTCCCTGCAATTCTCTGTGTTTAATTGATTGGCACCAGTTATAAAAGTGTTGAGCATTCCTTTCTGGGGAGTGAAACATTCCAAGGAATTCCAGACTGTTTCCTTTTGCTTCTAGACCACACTTATTTTGGAGAGGCTGAAAAATCACATCCAAAAAAACAAAACAAAACATTAAGTTGTTCCCGAATCGTATACTGTGGAAGAGTCCCTTGCAATGGAATTTTGCACATCACTAGCACCTACTTAAATCCATGTTAAAACCGAAGCAATGTTGAAATGTATTTTTTTTAAAAAAATCCAATAAATGTATTACTAATTATCTACGAATACTTTCTCAATGAGTAGCTTAATCGTTTTAACTTAGAGGGGAGTAGGTTATCATGTCTTCGTGTATGTGTGTCTAATCGCGCGACAACTTTTTCCCGTGCAGTTTAATTTCCCTGTCTGGCAATGCTAGGCAAACTTGATAAAATTGGTGAACACAGTCAGAATAGCATTCTCCACCTCAAGGTTGAAAACTCCCGTCTCTTGAAAAATCAATGAGGAGCCGGTCCTGCCCCCCCAAAACGCATGGCCTAGTTTTTGTAAACTTTTGTAAAAGAGGAATCCCACCAGTTGGAGAGAACACACACAGAGCAAAACCGCAGTCTTTTAGCCAAATGTTATTTATAAAAGAGGAGATGGGCTGAACTAGCATTAAATAAAGCTGATTTTTTTTATTAATATATATAAGCACATTCTCTTAAACATTTGGTATAAGATTTGCAATATATACTATCTTCGATGAGAGAGAGAGAGAGACGGGATGAAAATAAGCTTTGGTTCCTAACCAGAAGGCATTAAAAGAGGACAAAATGTAGAATCCGAGTGAGCGATATCCCTTCTCTTTCTCACTCTCCACAATCATTTCAAAGAGGAATGACTACAAATATTTAAAAAAAACAACAGGCAGGGTGAAATTGGAACGTTACAGCAGCAAATCAGGATGAGGTGGGCAGTGTTGAGACGTTTGGATCACGGGCGATTTCCCGAGGAGTCTTCCTATTTCTGGATCTGCTGAAGATCATCTGCCTGCGTTTGAAAAGGGCTCCCTTCCTCAATTGGCACCAGAGTTTCCTAGAAGTTGAATTCCAATCATTTTTAATTTTTTTTTTTTTTTTGAGATTATGGAAGCCCCTTCCA